CAAGGGCAAGGGGCGCAGGCTTAGTCCAATGGGCAAGGGTGGAAAATGGATGACTTGCAACTCCCGCGGGGGCGCGAAGTTCGAAGGGAGGTGGAAAAGGGGGGCGGGTCCGTGCTACTTGGCTCAGATTAACCCGAAGCGGATATCCTCGAGTACGCTGACTTCCTCTAGCTAGACTCCCCCCTGTCTCAAACCAGTTCGTCTTGGTTGTTGATGGCCCACTTTGCCGGCGCCGCCATGTCGGTAGAGCGGTGCACGGAGTGCCTCTTCGACGGGATCGAGGAGCTGCGACACCCGTATCGAGGACTTGGTCGGTGGGAGTTGGCATGGGCACGTGCAGGAATATTCTGAATATGACGATGAAGACGAATGCATGTCCGACGCAGAGACCACGCCCGCCTCTGACGCTGAAATAACTGACCAGCTCGGACACGAGGAGAACCGCCCACATCCGCTCCCAGCCCCGACAGTATTCGGACTCATGGAGGAGGAGGAGCGGGCTGCGGTGGGTTGGGGCCAGATCCACGCCAACACATTCATGATGTGGGGTAGGTCTGGAGAGGCCCCAATCGGGCACTGGCGGCCGCTGCAATGGCGACAGGGGAAGTGGTCGCCGGGGCCGCAGCTCAGCGGCCCACCGCGCAGCAGGCGGATCAGGTAAAGCTAGAGAATGCAGCCCGGACGCGGGCGGACCTGGCCGCGGCCGCAATCGTTCTCGAGGTGCTGGCCTGTCTATCGGCAAAGCTACGCCGATTCAGCCGAGCCCATGCGGGGCGCGAGCTCCAGCGACGGAGGACGGGGAAAGGAGCGCGCCTCCTCAGGTGAGGGGCGCGCCGCTTTCTCGCGCGACAGCCAGGGCCCCCGCGCGGAGGTCGACGGTTCTGACATGAACTATGTCCTTGAGCGGGGCTATACAGAAGCCGAGATTCGTCATTGATGGTATCTGAAACATTGTTATTCGTTACAAAAGAGGTCACATGATCAAAACACCAGAACGTCGCGGCAGGGGCAGCGACGAAAGGCGGGCATTCAGGCGCGATGTGATTCAGCAACGCAGGACATACCGCACATGGCACCCTGGTCGCGGCGATGGCATGGGCGGAAGGGTGGCCACGTCCATTGCATATCGCGTCTCACTGTCCGACGCAGAAGTTCAAGAAGTAGAAAAAGCATGGAGAGATCTACCAGATGACCACATCCTGAAGGTATACCAGGGGGATTGGCGGCATCGCCATCTCGATGATCATCCTGCTGGAGACGCCAGCGCCAGCGACGACAGCGCTCTTCCCCGTCACCGCGATTTGAACACGACAGGTCAGATCGTTTGGTCAGAGTGAGGGGGCTGAACCGAACGGTCATTCACTGTCCCTGGGTGCGTGGCTGAAGTGGAATTCCGTGATGCGGATTCTCGTTGTTGTTGTTGTGGTTGTTGGTTGTTGGTTGTTGGTTGTTTGTTGTTTGTTGTTTGTTGTTTGTTGTTTGTTGTTGTCGTCGTCCCACCCGCGACCCGCCCCGCGACCCACCCGCGACCCACCCCGCGACCCGCCCGCGACCCACCCGCGACCCACCCCGCGACCCGCCTACGACCCACCCCGCGACCCACCCGCGACCCACCCGCGACCCACCCGCAACCCACCCCGCGACCCGCCTACCACCCACCCCGAGACCCCCCTGGCGACCCACCCACGACCCACCCGCGACCCACCCGCGACCCACCCCGCGACCCACCCCGCGACCCACCTGCGACCCACCCGCGACCCACCCACGACCCACGCGCGACCCACCCGCGACCCACCCCGCGACCCACCCAAAATTTTCGGCCCCCCGCGGCGGGTTTCTTTCGCATTCGTTCCAGGTCGTTCCAGGTGGAGAACCTGCGACCCACGCGCGACCCAAACCGCGGGAGCCCGCGACCCACCCGCGACCCAAAATACGTTCACTGAACAAGCCAAAACTTCGGCGCCTGCGGCGGGTTTGTTTTGCATCGGCGACCCACTGGCGACACACCCCGAGACACACCCGCGACCCACCCTGCGACCCACCCGCGACCCACCCGCGACCCACCGCGACCTTCCCGCGACCCACCCGCGACCCACCCCGCGACCCACCCAAAATGTTCGGCTCCCTGCGGCGGGTTTTTTTGCATTCGTTCCAGACTCCTTTTGCATTCGTGAGGGCCACGAGGACCGCCGGCTCGACGCCCGCGTCGCCCGCGCCCGCCCCCTCTTATCCGCAAGTGTGGGGTGCTACGTACTTATACGGCCGAGGCCCCTGAATCCCCTCCAGGATCGACTCAAGCGGCAGATGAAAGGATTGGAGAGGAGGGGGAGCAGGGCGCACGGCCCCTCGCCCCATCATCGCCTGCCGGGTCAACGGGCGGACGCGCCCAGGAGACCCAGCAAGACGCGGCTCCCAAGAAGAAGCTACTTCCTGATCGCAGGGTGGATTTGGAAGAATCCACCGAGTTCGAAGACAAGGACAATAACGAGACGAATAACAGGGATAAGCACAGTTCTACCGGACGCGAAAGCAGTGTCAAGCAGAAGGCTGAACGGTTCAGAGGCAGCTCGACGCCTGCGCCCGATCAGCCTGTCACTAAAAGATCGGAGAAATCACAGGGTTCCGTCTTTTCGAGGTACCTGGGCACCGAAGCTATCGGCTGCAAGTTGGCGCACGTGGCGCCTTTTCCTCCGCTGGTGAAGTGGCATGAAACTTTAACGCACAGAAATTGCGGAACCCGCGGTGCTCCTGGCGCGCGACCGACGGAGGGGCACACGATTGACAACCAGGACGCGCTAGGCCGCCACAGCGCGGCGCACTGTGCAGCGAACTTTCGCGCAGGGTGCAGACCACGCCCATGTAGGGAACAGCGATGAAGTACTTTTCCATGGGCGGCAGTTTTCCGGACCCCATCGACCATGTAGTTCTTGTCCCAGAAAGGCCTGGGCCCCGTGTACCCGCTGAGATTTTAAGACAGGTGGGCACCTCCTCGCGGGGCGCCCAGGCTAGCCGATGCCCCCCTCTTCAAAAAGCCCCGCTATAGCTTGGAAAAACGAGCTGGCACCCGCGCTTCATTGCCATGACTGACGTCTTCACGAAATCGGGTTTCTGGACCGCGTGCGCGGTCCTGTGCAGCCGCTTCGGGTACGCTGCCCGCGACTGTCTAGTGCTCTTGGCGATGCGCCGCTCCTGCTCACGCATCTTCCGATTCACAGGTTTGCACATTGCGAAGTCCAGCACGTTTAGGTCTGGTGACCTCTTCGGTGTGCAGAATGCCTTGATTTGCGCCTCAGTTTGGCTGCCGCGCCGAGGTTGCTCTTAAACCCCGTGGGATCATTGTCCTCTAAGGCTACGTACTACCGCCGACGCGGCTTGGCCGCCCGCAGAGCGGCTGGTATAGGCCCGTTGTACACCTTCGCAGCCGCCGTGCAACTCTGGGCGAAGGTGGTTCGACGAGCCAGTCGTTCTAACCTTCTGACTCCCCTTCTGGAAGGGATCTGCCTCTCCCCCGTCACCACCTCTCCTTGGGTCTGGAACCCTGCCCCCCTGCGACGGGTCGCTCCAGGATGGCGCCAGACAGCCCAATGTGGTTCAAGGTGGCCTCCAAAACGGGCCCCAAGATGGCCGAAGTAAGCTGCCAAGAGGCTCGTAAACGTAAAGAACAGCGAAGGCACTTCTCGTTGACTCCTGGGTCTGCCCGGGTGATCCCGCGCTTTGGTTTGACGGCTGCCCCCTCTTTGTTGCACTGCGTGCTCCTGCACTTCCCTGATCAGAGCAACTCGCCTGGGCATCGTTTCTGGATGGGATGGTGGGGATAAAGCGAATCGTCAGGAAATTGTACCTCGTGCGCCAGTTCTGCTTGCTACGCCAGGTTCGCCGCGTGCGCCAGGTGAGCCAAATGCGTCAGGGCGCCATGCGTGCCAGGAGCGCAGCGTCGCCACGTGCGCTCGTCAACATCTGGGCGATCGTAGATCATTCAACTTCGTGCAGCGCGACCCTTGAGGCGCAACACGCGGGTATCTTCTCGCCGTCGCGACCTCGCGCCGCCGCACCTGAAGAGGAGCAGCTCTCCGTGCCCACACCGCGACATTCGAAGCACGTTTATCTTCTGGGCCCCCGTGAGTGACCCAGGCATGCTGACATCATCGTGGACCTCGTCTGCCTCAGTCAGCTCAGCGAGGCGCATGAGGAAAATCCCAGCCCCCCCAACAAAAATTACCGTTTCGAGCGGGCCACGACGTAAACCAATACAAGATGAAACGGTTGAGGGAACAAATTAGCAACACCCCCCCACCCACCCCACACAATTCAAAGTTCGCACGGTTACGCATCACCGCTCGGACACTCAAACTCGGAAGATCCACAACCAACAATGCATTCGTGGGGCGGGAGCTCAAGCCATATGTTAGGCGTGAGTGCTGCTTAATTGTTTCCGACACCTGTCGGGCGTCCGTTCGGGGGGGGATGCGCGTCTGGAATGGAGAAGGCAATCCTTCAGATTAGAGGTCGAGCCTCCATTTTGTCTTAAGGTTTCTGATCCTCCCGTGGGTCCCCGAGGAACAAGCAGAGGGCGACCTCCCCTCCCTCGTCCGTGCCCGACCCCCGGGTGCCATCTGCGACGGCCGCTCTCCGGGGGCGGAGGGGCGCCAGCTCATATTCCCTGCCGACGCTGGGGCTTCCGCCGGCTCGATCCCACGAGGATGCTGGCTCAATAGCCTGGCACCTGCTCTCTCTCTCTCGAAGAAGAAGAAGAAGAAGAAGCGGCACAAACATGAGCTTTCGGGGTTCCGCGCGAATTTCTTGGATAGGCGCTTGGACCCCTTGGTGGCGCCTTCGACGCCGCCCCTGGCGCGCTCCGCGCACCAGAAGGGGGTCCAGCGACGATCCAATAAATCCACGCCTCCGAAAGTTGATGTTTATGCTCCGTCTCCGGCCGACGGCGAGACGGCAACCCCTCGACTCTCCCGAGGGCGAGACGCCAACCCTCCGAGCCCGTCTGGAGTTTGGAGTTCGGGCTCAAGACGTGTCGGCCGCCCCGTGCGTACTCCAGATCTCGCATGCACAAGGTCCTCCTCGCGATGGGTCAGGTGTGCTCTGCCCCGGCCGTCCAGTCCACCCCGGACGTGGACCCCGACGATGCCCCATACCGCTCCCCCTACCAGGACCGGCAGGGCATTGGGCTGTGCATCGACAAATCTTGAAGCGAAAGGAGGGGAGGGAGGCTCGAGGATCGAGGTTTCCGAGCGTTGTTCGCCCTTTCTTTCGGAGCCTCCAGGAGGCTTCTCGTCGCCACGGCTGGATCCCCCTCGAGGTGCTGGTCAGAATGCGCCGCAGGACAGGTCGGGGTGTAGCGTAAGTCGGGCTGTACTCAAACGGCCACTGGAGGTGTTCCTGGCTGGCTTCGACAGGCCTCACAGGTTGCTTGTGACGGTCTCGTTCCCCGCGCCGCCGCTGGCGGTGACCCCTCAGGCTCTGTTCGCCTCAGGGCTCGGGTGTCGAGACTGCCCTGGGCTGCCGCGTGGGCCTGTTGGGGCCAGCCTGGCATGCTTTCGGTAGCTCCTGGCGCAATTCCAAGCCGCTCCAGAGCAGGACAACATCATGCTGCTGAGCGATTCGTACAAGACATCCCACTGGCGGCAGTATCCGCCAGGCACCACCGAAGTCTACTCGTATTTTGAGTCCCGCGGTGGAAAATTCCCTGAGGTCTGCTTCTTCGGTCTCCAGTACTTTTTGAAGCGTTATCTCCAAGGTGTTGTTGTCACGAAGGAGAAAATTGATGCCGCCGAAGAAGTTGTCAACGCACACATGGGCCTGGGTGAGATGAAGCATTTCAACCGGGAGGGTTGGGAGTACATTTTGAACAACCACGGCGGCCGTTTGCCAATCAAAATCAAAGCGGCCCCCGAAGGCATGGTCGTACCAGTCAAGAATGTGTTGATGACCGTAGTAAACACAGATCCGAAGTGCTTCTGGCTGACGAATTACTTGGAGACCTTGCTAGTTCAGGTTTGGTATCCCATGACTGTAGCAACGCAGTCTCGAGAGCAGAAGAAGATCATTCTTGATTACCTGATCAAAACTGGAACGGATCTCAAGAATATGCCCAACGAGCTACCGGCACCGCTAAAGCTGATCAACGTTGGTTACCAGCTCAACGACTTCGGCTGCCGAGGTGTCTCCTCCATGGAGACGGCTGCGATCGGTGGCGCGGGGCACTTAGTAAATTTTGCAGGCAGTGACACAATGCCAGGTCTCTGCATGGCGATCGACTACTACAAGCATCCATTAGCAGCATGCATCGGAACCTCTGTGCCAGCGGCGGAGCACTCGACGATCACCAGTTGGGGGCGGGATGGCGAGAAGGATGCTTTCAAGAATATGTTGACGCAGTACCCGGAGGGCATCGTCGCTGTGGTATCGGATTCATACAACATCTACGATGCTTGCGAGAAGCTCTGGGGCAAAGAACTCAAGGACCTTGTGGCGAGCCGCAAGGCACCTCCAGGCAAGCTCGTTGTCCGCCCTGATTCCGGTGAGCCGAAGAAAATCGTGGTGGAAGTCCTCGACAAGCTTGCCAAGAATTTCCCCCCTACAAAGAATGCCGCAGGCTTCAAGGAGCTGCCGCCTTACATTCGCGTCATCCAGGGCGACGGCATCTCGATAGAGTCCTTGCATGAGATCCTGGAGAACATGACAAAGCACAAATGGGCGGCCACAAACGTCTGCTTTGGCTCCGGCGGGGCACTGCTCCAGAAGATGGACCGCGACACGCAGAAGTGCGCGTTCAAGTGCTGCGAGATCATCGTCGATGGCAAGCCACGCCCGGTGTACAAGGATCCCGTAACCGATCAGGGAAAGAAGTCCAAGCAGGGCAGGCTGAAGCTAGTCCGTCAGAATGGAAAGATCACTACGCTGACTGATGGGCAGGGCGCGGAGGAGGATGACCTGCTCGTGGAGGTGTTCTGCAATGGTAAAGTGACGAAGACGTTCGACTTCGGCGCGGTCCGGACGGAAGCTGAGAAAGGCATGGTTGTCCCAATCTTCGATGTGAAGATGTAGAGCAGCCGCCCAACATCGAAGACATAACGGCTGCATAAGCGTAAATTGTTGGAGATCCGCGCGGATTTCTCCGATCGACTCCAGACTCTGGCCCCCCACCTGGCGGCGCCTCTGGCGCCGCCCCCGGCGCGCGGAGCGCATCAGGGAGCGGGATCCAGAATCCGCGCGGACCTCCGACAGATTGCGTTTATGGTGTTGACTATGATTCTAGAGGAGATCGTTCTTTCATTACTTCCGGACGTAACTCGTGTGACCCCCCCGACCCCCCCCCCACATAATGGTGACGCACGCGGGAAAATCGGCTACAGGTGTGAACGTGTGCAGTTTCCCATGGAGGAGGTCGAGGAGCAGCAGCAGCAGGAGCAGCAGCAGGAGGCGGAGGCCGAGGAGGAGGATGAGGAGGAGGAGGAAAAGGAGGGAGAAGGAGCTGTGTAGGAGGTGAGGAGGGGGACGGACGGACGGACTCTCGCGTGCGCGCCAGGGCGCGGTCCCTCTGGGAACGGAGCGGTGGCGCCGTGGCGCCAAGATCAGATATTGTGATGTATGGTAAAGCACGCATTCGAGACACATAAAAGATTAGGTGCATCATAGGGGAGGGAGGGAGGAGGGAGAGGCATCCTTGTTGTCGGAGTCGTTGTGTGTGCGTGTCGTGGAGAGTGATGCCGTCTTTGATGCTTCACACTCGTATGGTCACATGGCAGTCGAAAATTTGGGAGCTGGAGTCGGAGAGATGGGATCCAGGAATGGAGCCAGTGTCGGAGAGATGAGATAGGATGGGAGCTGGAATCGGAAAAATGGGAGCCAGAGTCGGAGCTGGGGTCGGAAGGATGTGAGCTGGGGTCAGAAAGATGGGATGCGATAGCCGGAAGTTTGGGAGCTGGAGTCGGATCCAGAGTCGGAGAGATGTGATCCAGGGTTGGAGCAGGAGTTGGAGAGATAAGATGGGTCGGAAAATTGGGAGCTGGAGTAGGAGCCAGGGTCCGAAGGATGTGAGCCGGGGTCGGAACGGGAGTCGGAGAGATGGGATCTGGCGTTGGAGCCAGAGTCGGAGAGATTGGATGAGAGAGTCGGAAATTTGTGAGCTGGAGTTGGAGCCGGAGTCGGAGAGATGGGATCCAGGAATGGAGCCGGAGTCGGACAGATAGGATATGGGGGCTGGAGTCGGAAAAATGGGAGCTGAAGTCGGAGCTGGGTCGGAAGGATGTGAGCCGGAGACGGAACGGGAGTCGGAGAGGTGGGATCCGGCGTTGGAGCCGGAGTCGGAGAGATGGGATGGGAGAGTCGGAAAATTGGGAGCTGGAGTCGGAGCCAGAGTCGGGGAGATGGGAGCCGGAATGGCCATCAAAAGTGCGAGCTGGAGCCAGAACCGTAAAGAGAGAGATGGGAGCTGGAGTCGGAAGTCGGAACGTGCCGCGAATCATGCAGCCACGAAGGCTCCCTCGAGTGAATTCCACCATGTCGTCTGCGTTGCAGCTGTGAGCCATCTCACGTCGTCGATGTCGCTGCGGAGGTATCGTCGTGGCTGGGTGGAAGACTGAGGAGGTGGAGGAGGATGAGGATGAGGAGGAGGATGAGGAGGAGGAGGAGGAGGAGAGGCAGGAGGAGGAGGGAGGAGAGGGAGGAGGAGGAGGAGGAAAAGGAGGAGGAAAAGGAGGAGGTGAAGGAGGGGGAGAAGGAGAGGCCGGGAAATTGTGGAGTCGCTGTGGGTTCCAGACGAGTTTTTACGATCTTTCACGTTGCTCCTCATCATTACCCTTACCATTACCATTACCATTTCCATTACCATTACCATTGCCACTACCACTACAACTACCACTACCACTACCATTACCATTACCTTTACCATTTCCATTACCATTACCATTGCCATTGCCAGTACCAGTACAATTGCCATTGCCAGTCCATTCCCATTCCCATTCCCAATACCATTACCATTACCATTACCATTATCATGATAATACCATTACCATTGCCATTGCCATTACCATTGCCATTACCATTACCATCACCTTTACCTTTACCTTTACCCTTACCCTTACAAATCCCATTTCCGTTACCACTACCACTAACATTTCCATTCTCATTCCCATCCCCATTCCCATTCACATTACCATTACCATTACCACTACCTTTATACCTTTACCTTTACCTTTACCAGTACCTTTACCATTACCATTACCATTACCATTACCATTACCATTACCATTACCATGGCCATTACAATTGCCATTGCCATTGCCATTACTATTACCGTTGCCATTGCCATTTTATTGCCATTGCCAGTCACTACCCCGTTACCATTGCCATTACCGTTACCATTACCAGTACCGTTACCATTACCACTGTCATTACCATTGCCATTGCCATTGCCATTAGCCACTACCATTACCATTGCCATTCTCATTAGCATTACCAGTACCATTGCCATTACCATTACCATTACCATTACCGTTGCCATTACCATTACAATTCCCATTCCCATTCCCATTCTCATCACTATTGCCATTACCATTACTGTTACCAGTACCATTCCATTACCATTTTCATTGCCATTGCCATTACCATTACCACTACCACTACCATTTCCATTACCGTTCCCCTTACCATTACAATTCCCATTCCCATTCCCATTCCCATCCCTATTCACATTACCATTACCATTACCATTACCATTACCATTACCATTGACTTAACCATTACCATTCCCATTACCATTACCATGACCATGACCATTACTATTGCCATGGCCATTGCCATTGCCATTCCCATTGCCATTGCCATTGTCATTACCATTACCATTACCGTTGCCATTGCCATTGTCATTGCCACTGCCAGTCGCTACCCCATTATCATTGCCATTACCATTACCATTACCATTACCATGACCACTGCCATTGCCATTACCATTACCATTACCTTTACCTTTACATTCACCCTTACCCTTTACCTTTTACCTTACCCTTTACCTTTATGGTAACGGCAATGACAATGGCAATTGCGATTCCCATTTCCGTTACCACTACCCGTACCATTTCCATTTCCGTTGCCGTTCCCATTCCCATTCCCATTCACATTCCCATTCACATTACCATTACCATTACCATTGCCATGGCCATGGCCATGGCCATTACCATTGCCATTGTTATTGCCATTGCCAATCCCATTGCCATTGTCATTGTCATTCCCATTACCGTTGCCATTGCCATTGTCATTGCCATTGCCAGTCGCTACCCCGTTACCATTACCATTACCGTTACCATTACCATTACCAGTACCATTATCATTACCTCTGTCATTACCATTACATTACCATTGCCATTGCCCTTAGCCACTACCACTACCATTGCCATTACCATTACCATTACCATTGCCATTACCATTACCATTACCGTTGCCATTACCATTACAATTCCCATTCCCATTCCCATCACCATTGCCATTACCATTACCGTTACCAGTACCATTACCATTACCATTGCCATTACCATTACCACTATGACTACCATTTCCATTCCCGTTCCCAATCCCAATCCCATTCCCATCCCCGTTCCCATTACCATTACCTTTACCTTTACCATTACCATTACCATTACCATTACCATTGTCATGGCCATTACCAGTGCCATTGCCATTGCCATTGCCATTGCCATTACCATTACCGTTACCGTTGCCATTGCCATTGACATTGCCATTGCCAGTCGCTACCCTGTTACCATTACCGTTACCATTACCATTGCCATTCCCATTACCGTTACCATTGTCATTACCATTACCATTGCCATTGCCATTGCCATTGCCATTCGAGGATTTCAGTAGGAATCATTCAGTTGAGGGTTTCAGTAGGACTCCACATGTGGAGGATTTCAGTCGGAATCATGCAGTGGAGGGTTTCGATAGGAATCCTTCTGTCGAGGATTTCACCATGAATCCTCATTGTGGGGGCGTTCAATAGGAATCCTTCTAGGGGGGATGGCAGATGAGGCCACGCCGCATTCCTTTTTTTCGCCGCCGACCCCCCCCCAAAAAAAACAAAAGAAAAGGAAACAAACATATCCGCGAATCTCAAGCCAGATTGTTGTTTCTTCTTTTTTTGTTTGGGGGGGGGGGGGCGCCAGGAGAAAAAAAAACAGAGAGGGAGGAGGAGGAGGAGGAGGAGGACGACACAGGATCCACATGTGGAGGGTTTCAGTAGGAATCATGCAGTGGAGGGTGTCGATAGGAATCCTTCTGTCGAGGATTTCACTATGAATCCTCATTGTGGGGGCGTTCAATAGGAATCCTTCTTGGGGGGGGGGGCAGATGAGGCCACGTCGCATTCATTTTTTTCGCCGCCGACCCCCCCCCCCCCTCCACCCCAAAAATAATAAAAAACAACCGCGAATCTCAAGTCCGATTTTTTTCCCCAACCATCCTGTGGTGTTGGGTCCTCGTTTTGAAGAGACGGTCCCCGCGTCCTCCTCTCCTCTCCTCTCCTCTCCTCGCCTCCTCCTCCCCCTCCTCCTCCCTCCTCCCCCTCTTCCTTGCGTTTCACCCACCCAGTACAGCGTTTCGTAACCCCATAGGAGCTCCGCCGAAGGCCCCAGTGCTGCCGCCCGCATGCGCCACCCACACCCAATTCGGCACACCCCTAACACGTTCCGTGGCCCCATAGGAGCTCCGCCGAAGGCCTCAGTGCTGCCGCCCGCATGCGTCACCCACACACACTTCGGCACACCCCTCACACGTTTCGTGGCCCCCTAGGAGCTCCGCCGAAGGCCCCAGTGCTGCCGCCCGCATGCGCACCCCACACCCAATTCGGCACACCCCTCACACGGTTCGTGGCCCCATAGGGAGCTCCGCCGAAGGCCCCAGCGCTGCCGCCCGCATGCGCCACGCACACCACTTCGGCACACCCCTCACACGTTCCGTAGCCCCATAGGAGCTCCCGAAAGCCCCAGTGCTGCCGCCCGCATGCGTCAACCACACACCAATTCGGCACACCCCTCACACGTTCCGTGGCCCCATAGGGAGCTCCGCCGAAGGCCCCAGTGCTGCCGCCCGCATGCGTCACCCACACACAATTCGGCACACCCCTCACACGTTTCGTGGCCCCATAGGAGCTCCGCCGAAGGCCCCAGTGCTGCCGCCCGCATGCGTCACCCACACTCAATTCGGCACACCCCTCGCAAGTTTCGTGGCCCCATTGGGGGCTCCGCCGAAGGCCCCAGCTACCGCCCGCATGCGTCCCGCACACTCATTTCGGCACACCCTTCACACGCTTCGTGGCCTCATAGGAGCTCATCCGAAGGCCCCAGTGCTGCCGCCCGCATGCGTCACCCACACCCAATTCGGCACACCCCACACACGTTTCGTGGCACCATAAACGCTCCGCCGAAGGCCTCAGTGCTGCCGCCCGCATGCGTCACGCGCACACAATTCGGCACACCCCTCACACGTTTCGTGGCCCCAGGCTCCGCCGAAGGCCCCAATGCTGCCGCCCGCATGCGTCACGCACGCCAAATTGAGCACGCCCTTCATGCGTTTCGTGGCCCCATAGGGAGCTCCACCGAAGGCCCCAGTGCTGCCGCCCGCATGCGTCACGCACGCCCAATTCGGCACACCCCTCACACGTTTCGTGGCCCCATAGGGAGCCCCGCCGAAGGCCCCAGTGCTGCCGCCCGCATGCGTCACGCACACCCAGTTCGGCACACCCCTCACACGTCTCGTGGCCCCATAGG